CGTTTTCGGACTGCGTCCGAACGGGGACTAACAAATACACTACAGTTTGATAAAGAATAATATATATCAGAGGTACATTACTTGGGGTTTGCAACTACGGTGACATGATACCAAGATCCTGTTTCAATCTCGCTCTTGCATAAGTGTTCCAATTCAGAAAAATGAGAATGCGCATGCCCGAGGTAACTAGGATACTGGGATGTCCAGGTGGATCAAAATAGCTGCTCACGATATGACGGATTACAATAACTATATTTTCTGTACATTTTCGATGTATTACATTTTTTCACTATGAATGTGGTAATACATGTTTTATTGTTTTATTACAAATCGCCTATGTCATGTCAGAAGGTCGTAGCATCAGTCTCGCTATCTACGAGATGAGACTTGAATGGGATCTTGGCATGATGTCACCGTACAGTACTATGCGCGTTGCAAACCCTAAGTAATTAGAGTTACTATAACACATTAAAGTGTGTGTTCAAATTTCATGTAAACAAACAATGTATTTTACTTGAGTTGTGTACGTTGCTATGAGTCCCATGTAAAACAGGACACGGCTCGACGACCATCGCCCTTTAAATCTGATGGTTCTAAGCACAGATATATCAATATTGAAGTAGGTGATTTCACAATAATTAAATATACAATCAGTCAAATTTAAACATGGTGGCTAATAGAACAGACATGATGCAGCATCTATTGTGAAAACCATCAAGAAATTAATGTGCCTGATGACACTGCATTACTTTATCATGCTGCATCAACTCATGAACCAATGCCACTAATGGAATGGAGACACACGTACAGTGTCAATTGCAAAATTTCACAGGTTGGTAGATTTAAGTGAAACTTGTTAATATGGATTATGATGTTGTGAAATAAAATCAGAGAAAATATTCAAAACCCAATTACAATATCATTTAGTGAATACTCAGTTTACATGATCCCTGGTGATTTCTTTGTGTGTGCTATTATTCTGTTTTCTAGAATCTATCATTCAATTCAGATTATTCATTTATAAATTTTGCACAAAGCATCTGGTTATATTGAATAATTACCAAGAACCATGATAACAGGATTCTCTACTACTAATCCCTAGTATACTGTGGAATACTTTATTTTTGCTTGGAATTAATTTTCGCTATTTTCGCTGAAGGAATGATTCAGTGAAAATAAAATCCAGCAAATCTACCTTTTTTCCTATATTTTACCTTCAACTCGTCAAAAATCAGCGAAAATAAATTCCATACAAAACACCCAAAATGTCCATTCAGCGAAAATTAATTCCAGCTAAAATAAATTATTTTACACTATTTTGTCTATATATGAATGTACAATACAACCAATACTTGACATGCCATATATGATGTGCTAACATATAAATAAACGAGCATGTACATGTAATATGGCTATACAGTAATAACCTTAAAAATACAATTTTGCAGGAAATGTAAATAGGTTTTCAGAAATATGTCTGCTTAACAACATCAAGATTTCTTGACCCTGACGAAGACTGAAGCGGCACTCATTTTCCCACCATAGTGTCCGGCCCAAAACTGCATGTCTTTGGAAGCATCTTCAAAGATGATGGTTCTCAAGCCTGGACTACATCCTTGGAATGTGTGACTGACCTTTTGGTGTAAAACAGAATTTGGACAGAGACATTTACATTAAATTGGTCAATTAAATAGTGATTGATGGACACAGTTTAAAATTAAACGGTTTACAGTGTACGTTGTAAACAATATCAAACATGTGGTCACAACGGCCACGCCCCTTTGTGAGACTTCATCATCCACCTCCATCATACTGATATCAAGCACTAAATTTAAAATCTACTACATTGCTTTTTTACAATGATTTGTTTAACAGTTTGCCAACGAGAAAAAGTATGAAAAACATGTTGATTAAAGCGGGAGGGTCGTTACCTGTGCATTTGCGGGAACACACTAAAAATGCAAAGGCTCATGGGTAGACGCTTGTTTGTAAACAATGACACACTATGGCTATCTGACGCACGCGCAAGTGACTCCCTCGCTTTGAATATTTAATTTTTTCAATTACCAACTTGTCAAAGTCAAAATAAGTAGATTGAATGTTTCATTGCATGCTTCTTCGTGTTGATATATTCGTATGGTACTAAATATCAATTAAGAAGTACCCAAAGATGAATTCTAGTATTTGCAATTAGAATGACACTGTTACTTAAAACGAAAAGAAGAAAGAAAGTCTGCAAATTTAAAGTTAAGATCTTTTTAAAAAGGTTGTGTCATACCTTTGTCCAATCAGAATTTGACCACTGTGGCGTTTCTTGTGGACCATAGTTATAAGATTCTATGACAAGGTCACTGTCTCCATGCTTCCAATCGTCGGGCATCAGTACGCTATGGGCATTCCAAGAATCTCTGTTGAATCGCTGAGCATACTCATCTAAATATCGTTCAACCTTGTGCGCTTTCTCTCGGCATAATGTCACCCTCATCTCCCAAACACTGGCACAGTCTGCTCGAGCAGCATACCTGCGTTAACAGTTTTATCATGATTAAGGGAGAAGTCTACTCATGAATGCAAACATTCAGAATTTAGACATTTTCCAATAAATTGTACTTGCAGGCATTATAAGAATGTTGACTTGGCACAGCCTAATTATTGAGAAAATGATGGTTGTATTTTAGTGGATGTTGCCATTTTGGCAGTATTATAATGCTTTTATCATAGGTTCCTATGGCAGTGATATTATGCCATATCTCAAATTGTAGCCTGGTGACATTGGCTGAAAAAATAATATATTTTAATGAATGCGGAAACAAAAAATGTCAAAAAATGTCTTTAACTTTGTGCTTTATGGAATTGTTCTGAAAATAGCGATTTTTGAAAAATATGTTACTGTAACACACAAAAAAATGTTATTTCATGGTACAGCTTCATAATTTCACATAATAGACCAATATTAACTTTTCCATCTGTTGACGCTGTCATACCAGCTTCTGCGCTTGTGCAGGCATTATCATAGATCTAAAAATAGCTGTTTTTGTCAGTGTTAAACTGATTAGACAATCATGAGACAGGTTAGTTTTAATGATTTGTGAACAGCTTAAAACAACTGTATCATGCATTATTATATGAATACTTGTAACTATGAGATAATCATCGGGTCACGGTGGGTCAGTTGTAGTCGCCACACTGTGTACAGGGATAGCAATGAAAGTTGAACATTGTACGCCATTTTAGGATTTGTAGACATATTAGAATGTTGTTTAGTTCTTTTTTTATTTCATCAGGGTAATTTGATTGCACATTCATATAGGTTAGTATAAATTGTTTATTTAACTGGAAATATGTTATATAAGTTGTGTTCACGTTACACGAAGTACGGGCTAAGATTTAAGCTGATTTAGGCTTATCTAGCATATTTGCATTTTGGCTAGACCCAATTGCGTCCACGCACAGGGAGGGCCAGTCGTTAGCACGGGCTAAGGGATGCCATTAGTTGGTGACCTTTGGTAAGCCGCTATTTACGAACGAAAAATGGATGACACGCGCTAGGTTCTATTTCTGCTGCTGACATGTTTTGTTCTAATTTTGAAGCGACGTGCACAGGAACGCGAGAGAAGACGGACCCAACTTATTTGGATGCA